GACTTTAAGTTGGATGAAGAAGATGAATTGAATCAAAAACTTACCACCAAATGAAGTCGATCAATTGATGAGTTCAATTGCACCGACAAAGGCACAAAAGCACCTGCGTATCATTCAAATCAAAACAGAATCAAACATCAGATCTGGAAGAAATCAAGAGAAGAGAGAAATGGGTAACCTCAATAAGTGATCTGCTTTAATATTATTGTGATGTACAGCATCCAATGAAAGTAAATGATCAAGTTCATCTACAATTTGATGTACTATTTCAGTTAGATGTTCGGGAGCCCTAGAAGTAAAAATTTCCAAAGAATTTAAAGCTGATTATTGAGACGGTCCTTTCCTAAGACCATTTTGAAAAGTCTCGAATCCGGTCTGATAACCCAATAGACAAAACTAGAGGTGAGTCTCTGATCACCTCACGTCTTATAACTACTTGACTAACCTAAAGGTTAGAGTCAAGATTCAATAATAGAGGGAAAAGATTAGACTTGTTCTCAGTAATGAACTCTTTTCCTTCACCGTAATCAGACGGATTAATATTTCACCTGATAACCCAATAGACAAAACTAGAGGTGAGTCTCTGATCACCTCACGTCTTATAACTACTTGACTAACCTACAGAATGAAAACAAGATATAGAATCATAGAAGTAAGAAGAGTTAGAAGAAATAAAAAGGAATAAGAGTGTTTCAAGAGATGATATCTGACCTAAAGGTTAGAGTCAAGATTCAATAATAGAGGGAAAAGATTAGACTTGTTCTCAGTAATGAACCTAGTGTTGATAGAGCATCAGATGAAATAACATATTGAATAAAGTCACAATGTATCAGTCATGAGATGTTATGATAAGAGATGATAATAAGAAACTGTGGGAGAACTCACTCTTTTCCTTCACCGTAATCAGACGGATGAGGAAAATAGAGAGTGTACACGCTTCCCGGAGTCGCGTGATTTTAAACAAAGGATAATTAGGGTTTGAGTTTAGTTTTAGTATAAAACCTGGCATTCGGATTTGAGGCTTGTGTATAGTAAAGGACTTAGTACATTTCACCTATAATTCACAACAGCTGAAACATCCTCTATGAGGGAAAGTATTACTCAACACATTTCCATACCATATTCATTTTTTAGTAAAGTTAAAGATTGAACAGAATTTGATTTTGATTTGATCGGCTGGATTAGAAACCGATTGAGCGCGTTTGAATTCAATTGAAGTGATAAGATTAAGTAATCGAGTTTAAGTTGAGCATCGTCATCTGATATACTCTGAGTTTTGAACCAAGAGATTCATTCGAGTTTATGTAAATCCCAAGAGTGATGAAGGCTACCATTGAACATTGGTAAAGGTGTTGAAATCAAGATTGAAGTTGAAGTTGTTATTTTCAAAACAATTGTTCAAATGTTTCATCATCAAGATTATAATGACTCCAAAAATCGGATATGCCAAGAATTGAATTAACTGTGATGCCATATGGGTCTTGGCTGATGTAGGGGAGGAGCTAAAGTTTTTGTAGAAAACTTAAGAATTCCTCATGATCATCTGATTCAAATTGTGTATGGCCTACAGCAACCTCGTGCATAAGATTTTATGGATTAATAGAATAGAACAAATACTAATAAATTGAACTTGATAATTTGTTTGATCACCTTGATGTATTAAAGTGGTTCATGTTTCTTTGATATTTCTCTCTTGATGACCGCTGTGAGTGATTTGATCATGGGATTGATTGATCATTCAAAGATACGATATTTTGATCAGATTGTTTGTGGTCTTTGATCAGTTGAGATGAGGGACTGTTGATAATTGATAAAGGAAGTAAAGTGTCAAGATTGAGGTGATTTCCTGATTGTAGTCAATGATCGAAGTTGAAGTTGAAGTTGAAGTGGATCAAATGATTGGATTGAATGGAGATGATATGATCAGGTGCTTTGATGAATAGATGATGTGAACGCGTCAGCCAGGGATTTTACTCAAAGGACGTGTAAACCTCCAACTTGAAAGTACTGATTGGGAGTTTTGTCCAGTTTTGCCGCCGAACACGGTTTGCCTTTAACTTATATGATAAGGGTATTAAATGTAAGAGTGCGCATTTAGTTATAAGGGTATTAAATGTGAGAGTGCGCATTTAATTATAAGGGTATTAAATGTGAGAGTGCGCATTTAATTATAAGGGTATTAAATGTGAGAGTGCGCATTTAATTATAAGGGTGTTGGTATTAACATATAAGGGTATTAAATGTAAGAGTGCGCATTCAGTTATAAGGGTATTAAATGTAAGAGTGCGCAATTAGTTATAAGGGTATTAAATGTGAGAGTGCGCATTTAGTTATAAGGGTATTAAATGTGAGAGTGCGCATTTAATTATAAGGGTGTTGGTATTAACATATAAGGGTATTATATATAATTAAATATAAGGGTGTTGGTAATAACATATGAGGGTATTAAATGTAAGAGTGCGCATTTATTTATAAGGGTTATTATAATACACCTGTGTCTACTGGACGCTTTGGATATTATCCGTTAGAAAAAATGTATTTCCTATCCGACATTGTCCGGAATGTCCCCTACCGACGCGCCGACTCCCCCGACGCGTCGGATCAAAAACCATAACTAAGTGACTACGCAATACATTGGAATTAACTATTAGTAACTATTACATATCCAACTGTGTATAAACACACTGCATAGCTCAAAAAGTTAGTTACACTCTTAGCAAACTGTCAGTCAAATATGTCTTCATTCACCCTAATGTGACTGTGAATCACATATGGGTGACAACACTTTATACATATGTAACATGCAGATCATCACTCATATTATCATATGTCACTTAAATTGAAGTATATGTATGTATGATGTATTTATGTGTGAATCACAATCACCCACATGTGGGTCATCATCAAATATTTTTGGATTTCAATTCACCCATACGTGAATCATCATCACATACATGTGAATCACCATCCACAGCTGATCTTTATTCATACATCCAATGACATTCACCCATATATGATCACGTACATTCACCCACATGTGAATTAAATTTACCTATATGGGAATCTACCTTTCAAATTTCCATTTTCCATCAACTTGGTCTACACACACATACATAGGATTTTGGTTTGCATATTTGACCCAACCTACCCAAGGGATATCAAACACATGTGGATCATGTGAATGTCATATATCATAAAAACTGACATAAATGTCAGTCAAATACCGGTTGAGTTATTGCCATTCACACATGGGTGAATGAGATTCACATCAGGGTGAAAGGAATTCACATACGTGTGAATCTCAGTCAAGTACTTGTCACCCACATGTGAATTCAATATGCATATATGTGAATGTACTTTCAGATTCCAAATATCCATGATCAAGCTGGTCTATAATAATCAAGCTGGTCATACATACATGAGATTTTGGTCAACATATTTGAGCCCGCATCCAAGGGACATCAAACATGTATGTGGATGCCATTCACCCATATGTGAATTCCATTCACCCATATGTGAATTCCATTCACCCATATGTGAATTCCATTCACCCATATGTGAATTCCATTCACCCATATGTGAATTCCATTCACCCTTATGTGAATTGCATTCAACCATGTGTGAATTGCATTCACCCACGTGTGAATTCCATTCACACACGTTTGTGAATGCCATTCACGCGTGGGTTAAAGAAATTCACCCAAGTGTGAATTGCATTCACCCTTATGTAAATTTCATTTACCCACGCGTGAATGGCATTCACATAAGGGTGAATCATGTCCATCTACCTTTTCGTGAATGATTTCACATGCATGAGGGGCACTTTGTGGTGATTGTTTTCATGAGAACCAATTCTTCCATCGATGAAATCTTATAACAGATTTCAAGAGCTTCTTTAAATCCATATAGGTGCGTATTTCGACGCACAGGAATCATGTACTATTATCAAATCTTCAATAACTCATAATCTAATCTAGCTCAATTACAAGAGTATATTAGTATATTCAATATGAAAGAGAATAGAACATATTTAATCATTCATCATCAGAGATTTCTTGTCTGGGACATTGAGGACCTGTGACTGAATTACATTCCTTGCGCCATTTTTTGTAAACCTGAATATTATCCACAAAGATTCCTTCCCATCCCTTCGCTTTAGATGATCTCAATTTCGTCCAGTCAGGATGTATATACGGAATTGGGAGGTTGGGAGACAAGTAGTCGAGTTCTAGTGAAATACAATGAGTTTTTTTGATAACTGCAAGTATGATGGGGTCAAGGTGGGTATCCGGATCTGGAGCTTCCAAAAATGGTGGAGTGGTAAGGCATGCGGTGACTGCTCCCGTGTATGATATCACCGGTCGGTTATAAGTATTGGCTATAACACAACATCCCCCTGGCATCGGATACCACAACTCGTACGGCGCTTGCTCCTTGTCAGGGTGTTCGAGAATTGAGAGCATTTTCGTGATCGAGGTTTGGGATTGGCTGAGTTTCGGTAAGTTTTTCTTGTACCAATTGTAGTTTGCGTGGACATGGGCTGCCATCTCCGCTCGCACTTTCCACGCATCCCCCTCATCACGACCCAGTGATACTGCCACAGATCCAAAAGCACATAGACCGTCCCCCTTTACATTTGTGGCCTCCTTGACAAACGGATAGATAACCTTTGGAAGAGTCGCAAGAAAATCCCATTTCTGTTTGGCATCGTCAGTATCAGAAGTAAGTAAATTGATATCAAATTACTTACTATCAAAGCTTGATCTACAGCCGAGGCATTTAAGAGCTTTTTTTGCTTATCCTTTTGCTTCTTTTTCTGCTGGGTTCTGGCTGCAGAGCAATTTTTTTCCAGCAAATACTGATAAATCTGTAAGCCACCACCTATGCACATTCAATCAAATAAATCACTTACGTCTTCTGATGGTTTTTGTCTCTTGGGGTTGGGCTGTTTATATATATTAAGAAAAAGTTAGTAAGCTCTCGATAGCTGCTAGAGAAGACTAAGTACTTACTTGGTCATGAGTCTGAGAAGTCACACGTTCGGATTTGCGAGTACTACGACTTAATTCCTTGATCTTCTCAGTGCGGGTGACTTCAGAGACTTTATGGGCGCGAGTGGTTCTTGGTGACTGAGTTTCACTCTGTGAAGTGAGCGGAGAGTCCGCGCGAGAAAGAGACTGTTCCTCGGTTTCATGATTGATCTCTTCAATCGTATCTCTTGTCGGGATATTTTCTTTGACCGGTTGATTCGTATTCGCTGTGTGTACCTTATCAATATTTGAGGAGGATCCTTGCATAGGTGTTGCTTCCGCTTCTGGAGATGAAGCCTTGGGATCTTGTCCTTCTGCTTCCTACCCACAGAACAGGGAAATGTTAGAATACGGATGGAAATCAAAAATATAACTACATACCCCTGACCTTATCTTTTGAATTAGGCGGTATTTGTGAAAGCGGATTGTCAGGTTTTCGTGAAGAGACTGCAATTTTGGCTCGGTTACCTTGTTCCTGTAATAAACGAAGAATTTGCTGCAACTTAGCATCTCATTCACAATTGCTACAAAGATATTGATTGAATAACCCACCTTTCTATTTCCTCTCGTTCCGGATGGCTTGGCAACACTTTCAGCTATTTCACAATCCCGCAAAAACCGATCCAGGAGACTTTTTCTAGTTTCAGGCTCAAGCCTGCCCATCGCAGTGATCAGTTCCTCGAATTCATCAGGGGGGTTAGACTCGGTGAGATCGATATGAATCATATCGCTTCTTTGCTTTCTTTTCTTGGCGGGTTTGATCAACAAAGGATCGGGAAGTTTCGGTGGGTTGAGATTTGCGATCGGTCCATGATTATGTTTGCCATGCTTGATAGTAATAGACCACGTAGTTGTATCAGATTGATATTCAACATGAACCGGAAAACGACAGGTTGGAATGATAAGGGAAGGGTTTTCAGCGTGAGCAAGTTGTTGCTTTTGATTGGGCCCTAATGCGCACTTCCACTTAATACGCCGTGGTTTAGTATCAAGCGTTGATATCGCGTAGTGATGGCTAGAGGCAAAGTTGTTCAGGTATATCTCGGCCTTGGCGCGAGTTGCATAAGAGCCACCCCCAGTTGGGCAAGGAAGTTCGTTGGTATCGATATCACCGGTAGATGTCGTAGCAGGGTTGGTGGTTGTATCAGTTTGTTTGATCGATTCCATAGGTAGATCTTCTTGAGGTGGTTCAGTTTCAGCCATCTTGAAAGGATCGATCGAATGGATGAGTGAGGAATGATCAATTGTTTGAGTGAGTGACTGTTGATGAGCAAAAGTGCAAGGTGTTGTAGAGTGTGTGTGTACACGACTGCGCCACAGCAGATCACGTGACCGTTGTACAGCCTAGCGTAGTTATAGTCACTCCATCCAGGCATCGGCTTCCACATCATCATCACTGTTGGAGCCGATACCTTTGGACGTGAGCTAACTTCGCCGGCCGATCTATCCGTTATAGGTAATGAAATCATCATCACTGTTGGAGCCGATACCTTTGGACGTGAGCTAACTTCGCCGGCCGATCTATCCGTTATACAAAGCAGGGGTGGGTGACTTCTCGAAAATCAATTCACCTCCCCTTTCACCAGTACCTTTCACGAATTTTCACATGAATCACACTAGGTGAATGTATATTACAAGTCGTGTAATATATAACTGTGTTACCTAATTCACACACGAGTGATATATCAGTGCGATTGTTTCACATACATGTGAAACACTAGTCCCGCATGGTAATTGACGAATATATTACATTCACATGTAAATAAATGTTCAATAATGTGGTGAGTTACATTAGAGTGAATGTAACTCACCCATAGGTGACCTGTGTTCACCTAAATGTGAATTCCTGTCACCTATACGTGAATTACTGTCACATATGAGTGACTCAGACTCACATATAGGTGACAGGAATTCACCCATGGGTGATTTGAATTCACCCATGGGTGACAGGAATTCCCCCAGGGGTGATTTGAATTCACCCCAGGGTGATTTGATTTCACCCCAGGGTGATTTGAATTCACCCATGGGTGAATTCAAGTGGCTCATACGTGACAGGCATTCACCCATAAATCTGAGTCATTCACCCATGGGTGAATTCAAATCAACCATGGGTGAATCAAAGTGACTCATGGGTGAATTCAAATCACCCATGGGTGAATATAGATCACATATAGTTGAGTCTGAGTCACTCATACATGAAAGGAATTCACCTATGGGTGATTTGAATTCATTCACCCATGGGTGAATTCAAGTGGCTCATACGTGACAGGCATTCACCCATAAATCTGAGTCATTCACCCATGGGTGAATTCAAATCAACCATGGGTGAATCTAAGTCACCCTTAGGTGAATTCAAATTCCCCATAGGTGAATCTAAGTCACTCATGGGTGAATTACTCTCACCTATACATGAAAGTATGTCACATGTGGACGAACACAGGTCACCTACATGGCTGACTCTCCCTCACGTATGGGTGAATGTAAATCACATACGGGTAACTCCCACTCAAATAAGCTACTGTGAGTGACTCACGGTGATTTCCATTCACATATGGGTGACTGAGAGTCACATGTAGGTGACTCTCAGTCACATGCACGGGACTCAGCCCAATTTCCATTCACATATGGGTGAAAGGACATCACATGTGGGTGAATGAAGTAACCCACATGTGATTTCCTTTCACCCATATGTGAATGGAAATCACCCACATGTGATTTGAATTCACATACAGTTGACTCTCACTCAAATAAGGAAACCTTTTCCATATATCTAGGATGATAAGTACTACTAACAAGTGTCAAAATTTCTGATGAATTCTGAGTTTCAATATTTCAAATTGACTTTCAAAGGCATGAGGATGATACTCCAATTTTAACATCTCAGTTTTAATATAAAATAAAATAAATTTTTGGAAGTGATACTCTGATTTTAACATCTGAGTTTTAATATACATTAAAATATATTTTTGGAAGTTCTTTTGAAAAAAATGTATCAAACCCAAACAATTATGATCTCTTATTCTTTTGGATTTTCTTAGCCAGCACTAATAACTTCTTCTTTTCACATTCTTCCCTTTTCTTAGCTAGCTCCTCCTGTTTTAATTCTTCTTTTTCAAAAGCCTTATCATACTTAGTATCAAATTCTTCCTCGTAAGTTTTAACTCTTTCATAACAATAAATTTCCCATTCTAAATCTGTCATACCTTTTTTTTCCCCCTAGGAGTTTGATACGCTGGACTAAAGACTCTGAAATTTGACATGATGCGCCATATAAAGTTACTGCACTCGACCTATGTGGTACTACTTTACCTTCAGCATCATATGCTATTGAGGATGTAGTATAATGTGGGATCTGGAAATAAAAATTAGCTCTTCTGATAGTTTCAATAATTGAATGAGAACCAAAACTCACCGTGGTATCCCATAACAGATCATACATACCATTACATACCCCCATTACCACTTCAATACCAAAATCATCTACACAGAATCTTGAACCAACTACTTGCCCCAGCTTAACCGTCTTCCCCGCAACTTGAACACCCTTCTCCATATCATATGGCTCTCCACTAGCTCTAATAATCATTCCCCACATCCCGAATGCATATCTAGTATGATCTTTATCAGCATGTGGACGGTTACAAAACCCATCACATGTAACAACCAGGTTGGACGCAAATACTAAGCCATTCTGGGTATTTTCCCATGCCAAAGAATCAAAACCTGGGATATTAGCTTGAAGTCCAAGCTCGACATTGGTTTTGAATACAGAAAGTGATAAAGATGAAAATTGTTCCGCCCAGAAATCACGAATCCGATGGAACTCAACCATCCTTTCCTTGTTGCTAAGAATTCGTCCAGTATTTGCCAAAGTAAATGCACTGATACAATAAGGTCCTAGATAAATTCAGAATAAATTATATAAGATGACATCTTTGTGATTAGTTAATAAGGTAGAGATATTGAGACAAAATCATTTACCTGCAGTTTTGCCTTTCTCACAACCCCCTCTCCAACCACAACACCCCATCCATCCACATATCATATTTTCATCCTGATGTTCACCCTCTTCTTTATCTTGATGTTGAAGAGAACAATGTATCTTACATTGATTTCTAGCACGTGCATGTTGAAATATAGTAGAGACTGAATGATTATACTTCTCTCTAAGAGAGGAATTCATCTCTTTGAAAGGGATACAACGAACCACCATGACAATTGATAAATCCTTTTTATTAATCACAACCACCGTTCCAGTTTCAATCTTCAGTGGTTTTCATTCGGGTTGGTCAGGTTGATCTTTCAGGCTATAACGAAAGACAAATTTGGTATCAATCGGTAATCCAAGCTCCCGAATAAGTTTCCGTTTAAATTCAGTTCGCTTTGTATGATCAACCCTGGGCCAGCAACGCAGGTGTTGCGTGTTGCGCTGCGCCTGCGTTGCGGTTTTTCTGACCGCAGCGCAACATAGAATCAAATTCTAGGTTGCGGCCTGACCCGCAGCGCACCATCATTTGTCAAATCGATGGATTTTTTGGGCCGCAACAACATTTGTTGCGTTGCTGCCCAAAAAAAATCACAGTTCGGCGTTTTTTTGGCGCTGTTGCGCCTGTTGCGTTGCGCGACGGTCAAGGCGCCGCGCAACCTGACCTCACCTTTTGTTGTTGCGGTACTTACCGCAGCGCAGCATGTAATGCAGGTTTGTGCTGCGTGTTGCGGAGCAATGCACCAAAAAACACTCGTGTTGCGGTGCGTTGCGTTGCTGGCACAGGGTTGGTATGATGGCGAGTGTAAGAGTGTCCAAGAGCCTTGACTTTCCGATATTTGTCCTTGGACTTATGGTAGCTTGGACAAGTTTTAGACTTGAAGCTTGATACCTTCACACCGGCTTTTTTTTTTGCTCATTAGATTTCGAACGTGTCATCCTGTATTGAACTGGAATAACAAGTTCAATATCGAAACTTGAGTTTGAGATGTGATTTCAATTTTTCAGAGCTAATGACTAGATTTTCGAGAGGTTTCAATATTGAAACTTGAGGTTGAGATGTGATTTCTATGTTTAAGAGCTAATAACAAGATTTTCAAGAGTCCAGATCGGTATAACCCTTGAAGAGCTAGTAACGAGCAATGATTTAGGAAGATACGAGATATTTAGCTATGAAGCGATAGAGCATTTGATCAAACTATTATGAAAAGGACTTACACCTATGATAAGATGTTGTTTATGAGTTTGAAAAGTCAAACCCTTCGATTCCAGATGTTGAGAACTAGTAGAGATATGCACTTTCAGACATCGATCGATCAGTATCCAGCAATGAAGTAGTCACATACAAGATTATTACCTATTAAACAATAGATCTTTGGAGCAGACTACGAGAATATAGCTTACACTCACAATAAATTGTAGTTAATGAATATATGAATATGATAAGTTGAACGCTTATGTTTATGATTATTCAAAGTCGTCCCTTTAGGCTTCAGACCTTGTGAGCTAGTAGAGAGATCCACTTTCAGCAATCGATTGATTCATAATTCAAGATTTGATACATGATTACTTACCCTCAGATTTAGATAAGTATCGAAAGTGTGTCTCGGCCTTCAATACTACAGCTTAAGACCTAGTAGTAAGTATAAAGGATGTGGAATCGACTATTAGCACTCCATCAATCAATTTGGTAGATCGCAGTTTGAAAGCTTACAATGTTAATGAGGTTACAAACTCGAGAGTTGCATTCGATATCGAAACTTTGTGATGATAGAGGCTTAAATTGATCTCCCGTATATATTCAAATAGTCGAGTCGAGTCGTCCCTGGACAGTAGGCCGAATTCTCCCGGTTCGTAGTACGGAGTCCAACAACGAGGAGAAAACAGCTGCTAACTGTGGGTGTGCAATGAAAGTCGAGATACTTGAAGAGTTGGAATCAATATCGAAAGTTTGGTCGAGTCCTCCCTGAACAGTAGGCCGAATTCTCCCGGTTCGTAGTACGGAGTCTGAGAACTAGGAGAAAACAGCTGCTAACTGTGGGTGTGCACTGAAAGTTGAGATTTTTGAGGTGAGTCGTTCTTGGAATATCGAAAGACTGTTGGGTAATTTTTCTTTGTATTCAGAACAATTTTCTGACCATGGAAAAACAAAGGTAACCCACAATACAGAGGTTAGGGTAGAATCAGGATCGCAAGCCTGTGAGGTTAGGGTTAGGGGTGTTTTAACCCTAACATTTAATGATCCATTATGTACCAGTTCAATGGTATCTAAAGTTGAAAACCCGACTCTGGTGCTTACCTTGGAAACCTAACAATATGTAATTGCCTTACCTCGATAACAAATCACCCAAGTCTTAAATACTACATGTAGATGAAGACTGTAATTGCCAAGTACAAATACACTACGTACTCGGCTTGTTTTTTGCTTTCAATACTATAATAACCTATCTTTAGGTATGCTATGGACTCAATCATTTTGTTTCAAGGCGCATGATACTAGGATTGTATTTTCTGTAATTTCCTTTATGTATGCTATGGATTCAATTTTATTTTCTCCAAGCCAGAAAAAACTAGGATTGTATTTTCTGTAATTTCCTTTCATTACAAACCCATTATCTGTGTGACAGATAAACCCAAGTACATCATATTATCTTTGGGTATTGATAACCAATAAGAACACAACTGGGTGTTACCAAATAAGAGTGTGTCCTATGACACAACTAATTTGTGTGATCAACACATATTGACCTAGGAGCACAGATATCTGATAGCAAGTGTTTGTTGTCACCACCCCTTTGGCATTGTGCGCACCAGACAAAAAGTAGCTGATCTTTGGCACTGAGGCTGAGTGAATTACTGTGTGACTCAGCTTCCACATGATCTGGAACCAGTTGACAATGAGATAAAGATGAAATCTCAATTTTGGACGCATACCTGAAACCCTGATTCCACCACCACTTTTGCAAGTTGCGCACCACCCCCACCCAAAAAGTAAGTGTAGAATTGGAATCAGGGACCTTCTTTTCCCCTTTGACACACCTTTCAGACAATCCGGTACAGGTGGTCCTGGGGAAATAGTGTAATCAGGGTTTTTTGACACAGTTACACACATGCATTCCTGAATCCCAGATTCCACCACAACTTTTGCAAGTTGCGCACCACCCAAAAACTAAGAAAAGAATTGGAATCAGGGACCATCATTTACCCTATGACACACCTTACAGACAATCCGGAACAGGTGGTCCTGGGAAAATAGTGTAATCACGGTTTTTGACACAGTTACACGCATCCCTGAATCCCAGAGTATGTTTCCACCAAAACTTTTGCAAGTTGCACACCACCCAAAAAGTAAGTGTAGAATTGGAATCAGGGACCTTCATTTACCCTATGACACACATTTCAGACAATCCGGAACAGGTGGTCCTGGGAAAATAGTGTAATCATGGTTTTTGACACAGTTACACGCATCCCTGAATCCCAGAGTATGTTTCCACCACAACTTTTGCAAGTTGCGCACCACCCAAAAATTAAGTGTAGATTTGGAATCAGGGACCTTTATTTACCCTATGACACACCTTTCAGAAAATCCGGAACAGGTGGTCCTGGGAAAATAGTGTAATCATGGTTTTTGACACAGTTACACGCATCCCTGAATCCCAAAGTATGTTTCCACCACAACTTTTGCAAGTTGCGCACCACCCAAAAAGTAAGTGTAGAATTGGAATCAGGGACCTTTATTTAGCCTATGACATACCATTCAAATCATCCGGAACAGGTTGAATTTGGGCAAAGGTCTCATCATCAACATATTTTGATGTTTTGATGCATCCCAGAGTCTAAATACATGTTGCCAGTTTCAAATTACGTTCCAGTCCAAAACTAAGTGGAGATTTGGAATCCTGCACCTTCAGTTAAACTACAACACACCTTACACATAATCCGGAAAAGGCTCACATTGGCAAATTGCCTCTTCAAAATATGATGACGCCTAAGTTGAGTAAAATTTCATTTTCAATCTTACAAATTGAAAATGAGAGTTTTCATCTGTCTTTTGTCGCTTTATATACTTTATATATACACAGTGGGAGATCATTCAGACGTCCGGAAAAGGCTCATGTGGTCAAAATATCTCATCAACGAAATTCACCCCAGGGTGAATTTCAAATACACACCAGGGTGAATTTGAATAAGTGATCAAGCTGTAAGATAATCCGGACAAGGTCATCTTTGATTGAATCTTGTGCTGCCAAACCTTCACCCCAAGGTGAAGGTCAGCTCACTCTAGGGTGAATTTCATTTCACCCTAGTTTGAAACAGAATCACACTTGAATGTACATCTATCAATCTTCATGACTCACGTGATGCAAATGCAGACATATCACAGACTAAGCTGAGTAGGATTGCATCATACTCATTTCCATTGTACCAAAGGAAAATTCAAAACATACATAATGTAAACATATAGGTTGTAGAACATTAAATAATTTTGAAAACCGTGCATTTTCATTCATCCATGTCGATATCACCGAAGCCATTCCACTCCTCCTCCTCAAAAGCCTCCATCATATCATGTTCAAGATCATTGTCATTGTCATTGTCCTGGGTCATCGTAACTTGAAAATCAAGATCCTCATTCAACTGGTTACCTCTGGTGTCTGAATCTGCGACATCTGAGTTAGGTGTCACCTTTTCCAATCTGAATAGATTCTTCTGTACATCACTAAGCCACAGACTCCTACGGCTGTTCATTCCATTAAAACCTAGCTTCAAAACATCTTTTGGCAGGGTTGAACCGGGCATTTGGACTACTTTGATGTTGTAAGTGTAAAGTAAGAGAGATTCTGGGTCAGGACAACGTGGAAAGCCTTTTTCTTTCCCAGTCAGCGCACCTGAGATCAATAAGAGACACCAGTCAGAAGAACTGCTTATATGATTCAAGGTATATAAGCACAATTCCATGCTTACTGAACATGGCTCGTAGCAATAAAGCAAGGTCGCCCTTGACCTTATCACCAGGGTTGGTTTTCCTGGCCTTTTCGCTGGACATCATCACATTTCCTCCGATGGTTTGAGCTACCACCTCCGAAACCGAAAGTCCCTGAGCTCGTGCTCCAAAAACCGTGGCGAAATTACTTTTCTTATTGACATATAGTGCCATTTCCTTGTGTGTGGTGAACTCTCTTCACCAGCCTGGGGCCGCGTTGGCACTCTCGCTCAAAGCATAAGTGCTACAAGCCAGGAGATAATAAGAGAAATTCATATTGTTTGATTCGCTTTCTAACTGTGAAAGAAAGAATAAAGCCCATAAGTTACAGGAAGAAAACAAATCCAGAACATCCCAAATGACTGACCTGAGTGTGAAGACGCTCTATACATTTGAGTGATTGATGGTTGTAATCGGGTAAGCTGGGTCCTTGAGGTATGCCAGCTGCAGCCTTTGCGAAATCCTTGGCCACCTTTGCTTTATTTACAACCTCGTTGTACAAAACTTGAGCATCAGCTAGCTCTGTGGCATTGAGAGGAAACACGTCTTCATCTTCTTCTTCGTCGTTGGAATTTTCTTTAGGAGGGGGAGTGAGACCAGAAAGACGGTAAAAGATTGAGGGATGAAAAATTCCATGTTGTTTGTCCGGAAGGGCTGTCCAGATCTTCCCAAGGTCACGGTTTCTTTTGGCAAGAATCCCTTTGACTCCTTTAGGTGGCACTATATATACAAAGATGGGTTGAAAAATATGAACATGGCTTCAAAGTACGTGATAGGCATGTTGGATGATCTTTTACTTACTTGGATGGTTATCTATCTCCTTACTGTACCTTTTCCATAATTGATAACCTCCAGTTTTTCGTCTTCCACCAAGTTCACCTCTGTAGAAAAGGTTTTGAATCAGTGATATTGGACATTTTACGGACGTATTAAAAAGTACTCACAGTTCTTTTTCAAGGGTAAATTTACTGATGTTTCCCATTAGTGCAAGCATAGCCTTCTGGTGTTTGTATAATTTACGAATAGCTTAAGATTCCTTCAAAATCTTGGGTGGTACTGCTGTACCCTTTTTGATCTGTGATTGTTCATGTACAGCTATACAATGGGGTGGCCATTTGTCCAGTTTGGACTTATAATTATTGAGAGTCGGTAATATTATGACTTGTTCTCCATCAGTAGGGGCTTGTTCTTGTTGGTTTGGGCCAGTAGTTCGTGCAAGACCTTGTCTCTCGATACGATTAGAAGCTCGCCGATTTGTTGGTCCGGGTATGGGCTGAAACTGATTGTCAAGACGTCGCATGAGGTCATCATCTTCAACTTCTTCATCGTCATCGGTAGGTTGAATATCGGTGCTGGAACAAGTGGGTTGGAGTTGAAGTTGAATGTCGGGGTCCGAATCATTTTGATGTGAGTCTTCTTCAGAGGTGTCTTCGTCTTCAGTATGATATTCCTCATCGCTAGTATCATCTGCGTCTTGATTCGAACGGCGAATTTGTTTGCGTGTATTCGAGTTTGAGTTCGACATCGATGGCTTTACCATCTGCCTGCTTTTTCGTCCAGCGTGAGAGGTTGGAGTCAAGGAGGTCGAGTCGAAAGAGACTGTATGAATTGATCGCAAGTTCCTAGCACTTGGCTGTGCCAGACCTGGTGCGGTAGCGGGTGGAGCACCACCACCACGAGCGCGATAACGGGTGTAGGAGGGCATGGGATGTTGATCGAAGTTTGTAGTAGAAGAGGGAAAAATATGAGGAGGAGTCAAAAGTCGATGACGAGGAGGAGGAAGAGAAACTATTCAAATACCAGGAACATCACGAAAAGATACAGTCCCGGCCCGGTGCTCAGTGGACATGACCTAATGGGCCATAATATTTCAAATATGGGGTCCATATTCAGGGTGTGTAGTACATACAGGAATCCCACGCTATTGTAAGACTACCACCAGTGAGAAAGGAAATGGTTGGGGGTGGCTTAACCCGTCACTCTGTTAGTAATGGGTCTACACAATTTTTTAGCCCAATTTGGAAGACATGGACGGTCTATCCACCTGTCTGTGGTTGGTCTGTGGTTGGGTGATTGATACAAGAGAGAGAGAGATTGAAAATTTTCAATCGTACCCCTTGTCATGTGGTATATGACTCCCCAAAAGCAGTTTGAACATTCAACCACACAATCCAAGACATCTCTTACCTCACAATCCAAGATCACCCACACCCATTATCTTTCTACTTTTCATTTATGGGCAAGAAAGGAACGGCAGTTCATTGTCCACTTGGTGGAGCCAAAAAAAAAAGACGAACCAAGGAAGACGCTGAAGGCTCTGCAATAATTGCTGACCAAGTTGACACGAGTGAAGCTCAATATGTCAATAAGCGTCTGATAGAAATTGAAAACGCACTCAACGCGGTTCAGGAACCTTTGCAAGTGGATGCTCAACCAAACCAACACCACAACGACCTTCAAGACAACAACAACATCGTATACGGGGATGCCTATGACGACATAAATAATTTCCTTCCTGCTCAAGAAGATGCGGCGGTCCCACCGGATCCCAATGTTCCATTTGCCACCTATGTGCAAGGATCATTCTACAGAAGCAAAAAAAAGACTGAAAATGAAAACTGGAAGAAGGCTCTGCCGGATATGTTCATTACCTACATGACCTACTCGCAGGAAACTTCCCAATGGGGTGATCCAACCAAATGGAATTATGATCACAACAAACCATGTTGCTGTGGTGTGGGGGACCTGAGAATGTGTAAGGTTGATATGTTAGATATTTTGGGTGAGCGGTAATTTCCTTAATAATACATCTTATTTCACCTCTACGTGAATTTATTTCACCTCTACGTGAATTTATTTCACCTCTATGTGAATTAAATTCACCTCTATGTGAATTGGATTCACCTCTATGTGAATTAAATTCACCTCTATGTAGGCTGAATCCACCTCTATGTGGGCTGAATCCACCTCTATGTGAGCTGAATTCGCCTTTGTGTGACTAATAGTCACCTCTATGTGAATTGAATTCACCTCTATGTGACTTATATTCACCTCTATGTGAATTAAATTCACCTCTATGTGAATTCAATTCACCTCTACGTGACTTATATTCACCTCTATGTGAATTTCATTCACCTCTATGTAAATTCTATTCACCTCTATGTGATGTCCATTCACCTCTATGTGAATTTCATTCACCTCTATGTGAATTGAATCCATATGAAGACACAGGTGTGAATGAGGCATGTTTGTGTGTAAAGTTAACATATATCCAATTGCTTTTGATGTCTCTAGAGCGGAAACAAGTAGAAATTCTATTCTGTAAATGTACCAAGGATCAAGTCCGGCTCCTCAGGATGGGTTACATCGGTGGATCCCCAGTTCATCCTCAAGCCGCGTACTCAATCAGGCTACTTAGGATGCATCATTCATTCTGGAAGTATTGCACTGTGAGAACACAAGGCTTTTCGGTGGCATTGGATGAATTCCTAGACCCAGCAAATCCGCTAATATTGGTTGGAAAAACAAATCAGGCAAGTAAACCACTTGTCTGCATCCAAATTTTTAAATTCAGATTAATCTAACATGTTACACATGTTCCTTTTTAAGCCTCGACTTTGGCGGAAAACCCTATCTTTGGCAATTGATGCATATTGATATATGCTACGCAAGCAGAAGGCACTCACGATTTGTGCATTATATCTCACAGCCTTGGATCAACTTGCTATGAACTGCCCACGATGTTTTGGGCCACTTCAAGCAAACCCAGAGCCACTGGAGAGTGATTACCACGTCTGCACTGATGGAAACTTTCAACATTGTCGACACCTTGCTGCAAGCCGCGAGTGTGAGGAAATGGAAATGGAAAATCCACCTCTCTTCCTTGACAATCAGAAGGTTGAAGAGTGGAAGACCCAAACTGGTGGCAAAGATCCTCGTGGAGTTGGGGTATGTACAAATTGTGTGGCTAATGCATATGTGAATGGCATTCACATAAGCGTGAATATGAAGCACATGAGTGTGATTTTATCACATTCACATAGAAATCACCCATATGTGAATTGAGATCACCCATATGTGAATTGAGATCACCCATGTGTGAATTGAAATCACCCATATGTGAATTGAAATCACCCATATGTGAATTGAAATCACCCATATGTGAATTGAAATCACCCACATGTGAATTGAAATCACCCACATGTGAATTGAAATCACCCACATGTGAATCGAAATCACCCACATGTGCTTCATATTCACACCTATGTGAATGTCATTCACACATGGATCAGGGGTGAATGAGCCGTTGTCTGATTTTAATATCATTTTTGATCAGGATCTGTGTTCAGCATCTCACACAGCTGCTTCAGACATATGAGGAAAATCTACATGGAAAGGATGTGATGAAACAGGGCTTATTGGAATGGCTTGTAGGCATGATCATGTCCTAAAATTTGTCAATGTTGTTCAGAGTGGGGAGCGGTAAGATTTTCTCTTCCACTATATATGGCAGATGTGTTTCGAAGCTAAATATACTGTTTCATTACTTAGTCAGTACTTTGTGTTGGCTTTGCTAGATCAACTATTGATAGATACAGCAGAGCCAGAAAAACCGGGTGAAAGTTTTACTGTTTTCTACGATATTGGTTGTACATTTGAGAAGAGTGTTCAGAACGTAAATTAATTTCTGCTTGCTCAGAGGCTCGTATATTGGTTCTTACTTTTCTTCTTAATTTTTGTTGATAGCACAAATATTTCGAGGCAGAAACCAATCGTGGGGATCTGCGCTTTGCTACAAGTGCTTTCCATGCATATGCTCACGAGTGGTCTTGTCAGCTTAAATATAATCCTAGACTGAATGTGGGCAACGGATTGTCAGATGGCGAAGGTTGTGAGCGGATATGGGGAGAGAATTCTCCTCTGGTAGCACCAAATAGATGTGCCACAAAGCAACATCGAGTGGATGCCATAGATTTGAAGTCAAGTCATGGAAATGAGACTCGATGCCAAAATGCAGGTATGTTTTTTTTGTACAATATATGTGAATCAGATGTTGACGACATGAGTTCAGTTTTCTCAACTCAGGTGAAACTGAAGACGGCAGAACAGAGATTTTATCAGGCATTGCAGACCCTCCAAAGCCTGGCATCTCAAGATGCCAGCTTCATGTATGGCTATTTTTCAGATCAGTGGAAGCGACAGAGGGAGGTGCAGCTGGCTGCCATGGAAGAACATGGCATACAACAGAAGCTAGAGGAACATCTGGTGAAGCTTCTCGACCTGGAAGAGCAGGTGAAAGATGCACAGTAAATTACGTCTATTTTTTTTGGATGAATGTTTTTTGTTGACTTTTTTTTTTGCAGACACGAGCTTTCACGTCTTCGGAGGAAGCGCAGAGGAAATCGGACCAAAGCTGAGATGGACAAATTTCTAACATTGCCATCTTCAATTGTCTCACTCGAAAAGGCAGTGGCTGATATCACTTTGGAGTTGGGAACACCTGAGTTCAATCGCCTTCGGGAGGCTACTGGTGAGTCCACTTTGAAAGTATTGAAAATTTGCTTGCTCTCTTAATTGAAATGGCAATTAAATTTATGAAGGTGCAAAAGCGGAGGCACTGATACGCGTGCGGTTGGCAAAGATGAAGCTATATGAGGCTAAGGTGGGAATAGTAGAAGCTCAAAAAAAGTGGGATAAGGGTGGTCAAGGCAAGTGTGTTTAGTTTACAATTGAAAAAAATGTGTAGCGCGTTCTTATGATAAATGAAATTTGTTTTTGTTTGTATTGACTTTGAGGAACTAAAGCGCAGCAAGGTCTCAAAACTCTAATGACAAAGAAGCAGTTGATGTTTAGGCGAAAATGGACATCCTATGAATCTCAAGTTTCAGATTACAACTCAATTCGCCCAGTAACAAGGATGCGTCCATCACTTGATGAAGCCAAAAAGCTACCATTTGAGGATATCTTCTGGAATGTGGGCGCACTTTCTCATCCTACAGAGAAGTGGGCTGTAGATCCACCCACGATTGACGGAATCCAGGCCTTTTTACAGCATAGGAGTTGCAGTGAAGAACTACAAAGGATTGGCCGGGAAACTCAGCAGATGGTGTATCAAGCTTTGAAGACTGAAGAAAAGCTTGATGGCTTACTTGCGTTGTGTAGTAGTGGTCAGTAGTAATATGTGTTATTGAACAATTTGTCTTTCGTGTTCCTGATGTATCTTAAAATCTCACAGATTATGATCCGGAAGAGGGTGGTAGACAGCTCATCGAATTGGTTCAGCCTGGGCAGCGTATATCAAAAGATGTTTGGGAAGTGAATGTGGCAGTGTTGAGATCATTGCATGATAATCTGCGTCTGAAGTATTGCAGAACTTGGATGATATGGGATGTAGATCTGGTGGGATTGCTCCATAGAACCTATCAACACACAACATCAACAGCACAGGAAATTAGGTCATTGATCCAGCGCTGGGAAGCGTTAGTAAGTAGGTGTAAATCAACCTGGGAGCGTATTGTGAAAGCTCAGAATATAGAAGCAACTCCGCTGGATGAGCTGGAATTGTTTGAGCAACATATGGTGCGTGGGGAGGACGACATAGGTCAGGTGGGTGACCTAGCGGATGAAGTTAATCACCTGTTCATTCTGGATGAAGTGGATGATGGTGACATGGAGGAATACTTCAATGAAAGTGGTTTGCATTAAGAATATATTTGTTGGTTGTTGGTTTTGTAAATTTTATAATCAAAGATTTTTAATTATGTCCCTCATTTAATTCCATATCACATATGGGTGAATACATTCACCTCGTGTGACTCTGAATCACATATGGGTGAATGTTTTCACCTCGTGTGTTATGTAATCACATATGGGTGAATACATTCACCTCATGGTGTGATCATAAATCACATATGGGTGAATACATTCACCTCATGGTGTGATCATAAATCACATATGGGTGAATACATTCACCTCGTGTGACTCTGGATCACATATGGGTGAATGTGTTCACCTCGTGTGATATGTAATCACATATGGGTGAATACATTCACCTCATGGTGTGATCATAAATCACATATGGGTGAATACATTCACCTCATGGTGTGATCATAAATCACATATGGGTGAATACATTCAGCTCATGAAGGGATTGTTGAGGCACACTGAAATCTGATTCCCACATGTTTGATTCCGTATCACATATGGGTGAATGTATTCACCCTGTGTGATATGTAATCACATATGGGTGAATACCTTCACCTCATGTTGTTTTACAAATATTATACATTGATTTTTGATCACGTCCTGTCTGTGATTTAGCTATGATTTGATGAGAGATTGTGGAGGCACACCAGAATCTGATTCCCACATGTTTGATTCTGTATCACATATGGGTGAATGTATTCACCTCGTGTGATATTTAATCACATATGGGTGATTGGTGATCATACATAGAATTTGATTTGTGAGCAACTGTAAGGTTTCAGAGTGCCTGAATAGTGGAGATCTATCTTCCGCACATGTGAATTTACATCACACATGGGTGATTTAGCCTCACCTAGGTGTGAATTGTTTTTGCACTGTATACCTAGCACTTTCCACAGGCTAGTGGTACATACAAATGTGGCTAGTAATTAGTAGTGGATCTATGAGTGTGGCCCTATTATTCTACGTTTGTGATGAGTTGATTGAAATCTTTGATCCGACGCGTCGGGGGCGTCGGCGCGTCGGTAGGGGACATTCCGGACAATGTCGGATAGGAAATACATTTTTTCTAACAGATAATATCCGAAGTGTCCAGTAGACCAGGTGTATAATATAAGGGTACCACATATGAGTGTGTGTAATTAATCAATTATAAGGGTCTAATAATTCATTATAAGGTGTTGGTTTTGAAATATAAAGGTATCAATGCGCACAACTAATCACAAGGGTGTGTTCTCATATCATATGATGATAGAATTAAATATAAGGGTTTGATTAAATATTAGACTATTGTATTTAATTATATATTCATATAATATAAGGGTGTCTCTTCATGATTATTTGGTTAAATATAAGGGTTTGATAAAATATTAGACTATTGTATTCGAATTTATATTTATATAATATAAGGGTCTCTCTTCATGATTATTTGGATAAATATAAGGGTTTGATTAAATATTAGACTATTGTATTTAATTATATGTTCATATAGTATATGGGTGTTCTTAATAATAAATAAGTGTATTCATAATAACATAGACTAAAGTCAGAATAAGGTAGAAAGGTATCAAATATGTTTTACATTGTTATCAAATTCAAATCGCTACTCTAACTTTGTAAAAACACACAAACGCTTAACGCATCAAATATTGATGAACAACCGACTTTTTATTACACATAGAACGAGTTAAGATAAACAAGACTTGTAGGGTATGAAAAGATGCACAATGATGTGGAGAGTTTAGAAAAACATTGAAAACTCAAAGTTCATAAACAAGATTTGAAGCTATGAGCAAAACAAAAAAATTTGCTTGGGATTTGCTTTTTGCGCGCTCAATAACTCAAGTACCAGTGATGCTACAGATAAACCATGAACATATATGGAGTCAGGCATATGAGGAGCAACTATCCTGCAATTTTCGTAAAATTGATAACTTTTTTTTTTTGGTCAAAAGCGTAGTGAGGTGTAGTTATTTTCATACTGTGGTGTGGTAAATGTCAAATTGACTTATTTGAGTAGTGTAGTGTAATGAATTTCATTTTTGAGTGTTGTGTAGTGTTTTTATTTTAATGATGTTGTGTAGTGAATTCCAAGTTTGTAGTGTATTTGATGTGTTTTATTAGTGTAGTGTAATGAATTTCATTTTTGAGTGTTGTGTAGTGTTTTTATTTTAATGATGTTGTGTAGTGAATGTCAAGTTTGTAGTGTATTTGATTTGTTTTATTAGTGTAGTGTAATGAATTTCATTTTTGAGTGTTGTGTAGTGTCTTAATTTTACTGATGTTGTGTAGTGAATTTCAAGTGTGTAGCATGTTTGATTTGTATCATTAGTGTAGTGTAATGAATTTCATTTTTGAGTGTAGTGTAGTGTTTCCATTTTAATAGTGTAGTGTAGTGAATTGATTTTGTTAATAACACCGCGGGAATGAATTAGTTCAAAACCCGATTGAG